ATCGGCACGATGCTCATCGGGTAGCATAAATAACACTGAATGATCCTGAGGCCCTGGTTGTGCAACTCGTTCGGTCATTACAAACCTACAATTAACAAGCAAACATAAACTAATTTTTTTACATGTTTATAAGTCATTCATTAAATGTGTTTAAAAATTTTATGTAGTTTAACATTAAAACTAACGTTATATTTTGATGTGTCCACTATTATTTTATAACTACTTATATATTAATATGAATTATATATTTACCAATACAACTTATGAATTTATTAAATATTTTATATATTTTTTAACAACTAAAACGTAGTATGTCATTTTTTCTATTCACCTACTTTTATAGAAATATTAAACCTTTTTCTACAATTATTAATACTAATATAATAACAAAAAAAAGATTACTACACTTATTACCTACCTACAACTTACTCCGTAATATCACTGAGTGCGTATTCCGAGATATTTTATTTGACAAAGTGTATTTTTTTATCTGACCCGAGACATTATTGGGGTGGTTGGAATTTATGAGGTTAGGTGTGGAGTGCGTATTTCGAGATATTTTATCTGACCGGGAATATTTTTATCTGATAAAGTTTTTTTTATCTGACCGGAGACATTATTGGGGTGGTTGGAAATAATGAGGTTAGGTGTGGAGTGGATGAGTGCGTATTCCGAGATATTTTATCTGATCGGGAATATTTTTATCTGATAAAGTGTATATTTTTTATCTGGCCGGAGACATTATTGGGGTGGTTGGAAATAATGAGGTTAGGTGTGGAGTGGATGGGTGCGTATTCCGAGGTATTTTATCTGACCGGAAATATTTTTATCTGATAAAGTGTATTTTTTATTTGACACGAGAAATAGTATGTCATTTTTTCTATTCACCTACTTTTATAGAAATATTAAACCTTTTTCTACAATTATTACTACTAATATAATAATAATACTAATAATAATAATATTAATAATAATACTAATAATAATAACAAGGGAAAAGGGGCAAATAAGCCCTCGAACTAACCAAAAAAGTGCAAATAAGCCCTTATATAGGAGGTTCTGTCTGGCCGTCGTCATTTGGGGAGGTTCCCAGTGGAATTTTTTTATCATCTTCTCCATTAAGTCTAGTTTAGCCATACCAAAATTTCAGCTAAAAATTCAACCGGGAAGGCAGTCAAATGATTTTTGAAATATATTGCGCTGTTTAACTGCACAGTTATCTTCAACAATTTGGTATGACTAAATTAGACTTAATGAAGAAGATGCTAAAAAAACTTCATCAAAAAATTCCACCGTGAACCTCCCCAAATGGCGACGTCTGAACAGAACCTCCCATATAAGGACTTATTTGCACTTTTTTGGTTAGTTCGAGGGCTTATTTGCCCTTTTTCCCTAATAACAATAATGAATAAGGAGGAGGTGGAATAAGTTACTAACCTTTTGAGGGGTTGAGAGGAGGTTGAAGGGGGGCTCGGATGAAGGTATGTGAGGAGGCAGGTGGGGGAGATGAATTTATAATAACAAAACTATCCTCCGATCTGTAACCAACCAATCACGAAGCCCGGAAATCTAATCCTCTGAATTCGGATTTGGCAGATCCGAAAATAAGAAAGCCTGACGCAACACCCGTTTCGGAGTTCAGAAATCCGAAATCAATAAAGTTGTTTTTGACCACTTTTTATTTCCGGAGTTGAGAACTCCGTTTTGGCTTTTTTTGTTAAAAAAATTGGATATGTCTTATTTGGAAACACCTGTTACAAACATGCTCTGTTTCGTCATTTCCTCCCATTTCGGACCATTCATGCTTAGTAAGCAATGGAGCCCAACCCGGCCCGGCCCTCTACGCCGCAGCCTATAAATAGACACGCACTTTAAACGACTTTTCTATTTTGCCCTTAGCATTCCTGATATTACCTATCATATACTTCAGGAGTGTTTGAGATTGATTAAAAAAAGCGCTTTTCAGCTTTTGGTTTAAAAAAAGTTGAAAAGAGTGTTTTCAAATGATAGCTTCTGCTTAAATTAATCACTTAAAAGCTAAAAGCTGGAAGAAGGTAGAAGGGTGCTTTAAACTGCTTCTCACTTTTTCTATTACACAAAAAGTACTTATTTTACCAAACACTACTAACTTTTACTTTTTCAGAATCACTTTTTTCTCAAACACTACCAACTTTTACTATTAATCACTTTTCCCAAAAACACTTTAAAAAATCACTTTTTTAAAGTTGAAGCAATCGCAAACACTCCCTTCGTATATTCGATGGATTGATCATGTTTTTTTCATGTTCAAGTAGTTTCTATTTGGTAAGGGAGTGTGAAAACCAAATTGGGGGCCTGTATTTTATTTTTATAAGAGACTAATAGGCATCTAATGGTGAAATTCAAACTAATGTTACATACTATTGGTGATATTGAGATTAAGAGCCCGTTTGGTAGCCCGAAAATCGGCTGTTTTGGCTGATTCTGCTGAAATTTCTGAAGTTCTGGCTGAAGTGGCTGCATTAACTGATTCTGCTGATTTAAGAAACAATTATTTTTAAAATATATTTTATTAATAAAATAAAGAAAAAATTATATGTAAAAATAGCTAAAATAGTCATCTACAGTAACTTCATCCAAAACAGCCAGAAAAGTAACTCCAACCTTACTTTTTCTGCTTATTACACAACTCAGTGCGCGGAAGTAAAAGTTACGTGTTTGGTGAAAAAGTCAGTTGATAAGCCTGATAATCCGAAAAACAGTGCTGTCAAACGGCCTCTAATGTTACATTCTAATTTATGTAATGTAATTAGAATGGGGTCTAATGGTGAAATTCAATGCTAATGTTATTCGTTGTTACGTTGAAGATGGGAACTTTGTGGTTGATCAAGAAAGGTATAAATAAGATCAAAAGGTATGCTTTTAAGTAGGGAAAGTTCCCAAAACAGGAGTAAACGTGCTGGTTTTAGAATTCCAAAGTAGGACTGATATGTTTTTTCTTCCTGAAATAGTAGTAATAATTCAACATTTACTGTTGTCTATAAATCATAATCATTATTGTCAAAATAGTTACAATACTAGGAATTAACGTGACAATATTTACTATTACTATTTCGGGATGAAAAATATACTCCCTCCGTCCCAGAAAATTCTTCCAACTTTCCTTTTTGGGACGTCCCAGAAAATTCTTCCAACTTCACCTTTTTGATTATTTGTGTGGCTCACATTCATTTCACCTTTTTCTTACACAACTACAACCACACATTTCCACTTTATTCCCACTTTCTTAAACTCCGATCCAAGTCAAACTTGGAAGAATTTTCTGGGACGGAGGGAGTAACAATCATATTTTGAAATTTCAAAACATGTTTACTCTTATTTAGTGTAATTTCCCTTTTATTTATTTATTTTTTGATATTTTTTGGCTACTTCGTTGTCACTATAAATATAAAAAAATCATTTTTTTATCACAAGATAAAATGTGAATAGTATCATAAATCTTTTCTTGGTGCGTCAATATAGTTTCACTTTATCTAGTTATTCAAAATATCAATTATTATTATATTCTAATTTGGATTTCGATGTTGAGACTTGTGGTTCCATCCTAAAAAGTTAACCTGATAAGAGGAATACCTTATGATCTTAATATAACACTTTATTATTTCTTAATTTATCACCCTTTCTCATCTACAGACACTTCGTCTAGATCATGCCGTCATTATTTTTTTCGTTGGTTCGTCATTGTCATTTTTTAAGGGGAAAATAATTAAAATACCCCAAACTTTGAAGGGGTGTGAGATTAATACCCCAAACTTGCATATGTAATTTAAATATCCCAAATATTATATAAAAATTTATTTTAGCACCATAGTCAACTATTATTTTTTCAAAAGTGTAAAGTTTACGTTATTAATTGCATAATTTAAAATATTTTGGAATTCATGAAGACACAAGTAACATTTTAAGCTTGCATTAGGAAATAAATAATGTTACCCCCAATCGATCTATATAATTGCAAAACTTTTAGTTTTCTATTTTAAATTATGCAATTAACCCCATAAACTTACATTTTTTAAAGAGATAATGCATTAAAAAGGTGCAAAAATAACTTTTTATTTAAAGTTTTGGGGTATTTAAATTACGGGAGTGTTTGCAATTGCTTCAACTTTAAAAAAATGATTTTTTAAAGTGATTTTGGGAAAAGTGATTAATAGTAAAAGTTGGTAGTGTTTGAGAAAAAAGTGATTCTGAAAAAGTAAAAGTTGGTAATGTTTGGTAAAATAAGTACTTTTTGTTTAATAGAAAAAATGAAAAACAGTTTAAAGCACTCTTCCACCTGCTTGCACCTTATAGCTTTTAAGTGATTAATTTAAGCAGAAGATGTCATTTGAAAACACTCCTTTTAGTTTTTTTAAGCTAAAAGTTGAAAAGCGCTTTTTTTAAGCAACCGCAAACACTGCTTACATATGCAAGTTTGGGGTATTTGTCTCACAACCCTTCAAAGTTTGGGGTATTTTTATTATTTTTCCCTTTTTTTAATTACAATCATGTCGTCATGTTTCATAAGAGGGCCACATCATGGTTATGGATCAGGTTGAATTTGATACCATGTTAAGATCTGAGGTTTCATTCTAAAATGTTAACATGATAGAAGAAATAACCCAATATCTTAATGTAACATTTCATTACTTCTTAATTTATGAGGATGCACTATTACAAATATGATATACCACGTCGGCCGTTTAACGCGCGTCTCGTATATATGACTTGATAGAACTTTCAATATAATTTGTGAATATGGCGAGAAGATGAGGATCAGTCACCTTTAATTTTGATATCTTGAATATGACATAATGCATTGCAACAGAATGACATACAAACCTGGGTTGCTTTTTGAAATATTACTTTTAAAAAAGTAATGTTGAAATTCTTGTCGGGCGACTTTGAAAGGCCAAATCCCACCATCCAGCAGTAGCTTCGTGCCTTAACTTCATTCGTATATATGGAGTATACGATTGGCATTTGTTTAGTACTTGTGCGGGCATAGATTCATAGATCGAGATCAGATTAGATTGTGTAGGAAAAAGATTAAAATGAGGTTGTTTGAAGCAGCTGGTGGCGGCACTCCACTCCTTTTGTTGTTGGTGTCGTTAGTTTCCTTCGGAACATGTCGTGTCATGGCACAAAAATCCTACATTGTCCACATGGACACTTCATATATGCCCAAACATATGGCAACTCACGATCAGTGGTACCGCTCAGTCGTTAAGTCTGCAAAGCTTGTCGGTACCCAGGCAACATACGACGAAAAGCAGTTGAACGGAGCATTTCTGTACACTTACCATCGTGTCATTAGCGGTTTTAGTGCAGTGTTGGGTGAGAATGAACTGGAGGCTGTTAAAAATGTTCCCGGGTTTCTCTCGGCTTACATGGATAGAGCTGTGAGTAAGGTCACCACCCACACCACGGATTTCCTTGGGATGAGCCTCGGGTCGGGCCTGTGGCCCGCGTCGGATTACGGCAAAGATGTGATCATCGGCGTCATTGATACCGGGGTGTGGCCTGAGAGCGCCAGCTTCAGAGATGACGGGATGGCGGAAATTCCTCAGAGGTGGAAAGGCAAGTGTGAAGGCGGGGAAGGATTCGGTGCTACACTTTGCAATAGGAAGCTCATCGGGGTGAGTTACTTCAACAAGGGGGCGAAGGCTGCTTTGGATCCGAACACTACCATATCCATCCCGAACTCAGGAAGGGACACTGAAGGACATGGAACGCACACCTCTTCAACGGCAGCTGGAAACTACGTGGAGGAAGCTTCATTCTTCGGCTACGCCGCGGGGGCCGCACGAGGGGTTGCACCGAGAGCTAGGCTTGCCATCTATAAGGTCTTATGGGATGTAAGCACTGCTTCAGATGTTCTTGCTGGTATAGAGCAGGCGGTTGCAGATGGGGTGGATGTCATATCTATTTCTTTGGCGCCGCCCTATAACGTGTCGTTGTACGAAGACCCCATCGCAATAGGTTCCTTTGGGGCGATGGCAAAGGGAATTCTCGTTTCCACCCCCGGAGGAAATTCTGGCCCCAAAGGAAGGGGATCCCTAGAAAACGGGATCCCTTGGGCGCTTACATCTGCAGCTGGCTCCATCGATCGCTGGTTTGCGGGGACGGTGTCTTTGGCGAGTGGGGAGGAGATAACTGGTTGGACGACATACCCCTTGGCGAAACCCATTAGCGGCCAGTTGCCTCTCGTTTACAACAAGACAATGTCCCATTGCAACTCAACCCATCTTTTCTCCAATCTAAACGCTTCATCTATAGTTGTTTGTGAGTCTGAAAATTTTCATTCACTCTGGAAGCAAAGCGGATTTCTTTCATATTCCAAATTTGTCAAAGCAGCCATCTTCATTTCTGATAACCCGGATTTACATGAGTTTGTGGACTTCCCATATCCCGGCATTGTTATTAGCCGTGAACAATCATATGGAATTATCAAGTATTGTAGAAGTAGTAATGGTGTGCGCAGGCCTCATGCCAGCATTCAGTTGAACCAGAAAACATTACTAGGCACCAAGGGCAATCCTGTTGTGGCAAGCTACTCCTCCAGAGGTCCTGCCCCCAGCTGCCCATTGGTCTTGAAGCCCGACTTGATGGCTCCTGGGACCTTAGTCTTAGCGGCCTGGCCTCCAGCTATTCGTCCAACTTACATATTACGCCCTAACAATGTCACTGTACCTTTACAGAGCAGCCACGGCTTCAACATTGATTATGGTACGTCCATGTCATGCGCTCACTCTTCTGGAATTGCAGCACTTCTTAAAGGCGCACACCCCGAATGGAGCCCGGCTGCCATTCGATCAGCCATGATCACCACCGCCAACCCTAAAGACAACACCGACACCCCTATAAAGGACCCTACTGACTCCCGCGGTATTGCTTCCCCTCTGTCAATGGGAGCGGGCCAAGTTGATCCAAACCGCGCACTTGACCCGGGCCTGGTTTATGATGCCACCCCACAGGACTATGTGGATCTTTTGTGCTCCATGCACTTCTACTCTACCCAAATTCAAACCATCACCACATCATCCAAATACAACTGCTCAACTCGCTCTTCTGATCTCAACTACCCATCTTTTATTCTCTTGTACCACCAATACCACAACCAAAATGTTACTCGAACCTTTTACAGGACTGTCACATATGTTGGGGATGGCCCAGAAACCTACACCCTCGATGCCAGCCAATTACCTCAGAGTTTCCATACTACTTTCAACCCTGTGAAACTTTCCTTCAAGAAGAAGTATGACAAGGAAAACTATACCTTTACTCTCACCTATAAGGGTAGTCAGACCGGAGAAGTTGATTTTGGTTCATTCACTTTCGTTGGCGACAACGGTAAGCATAGTGTGAGGAGTCCGGTAGTTGTGGCGCCTATGATCAATACATGGTGATTAATATATCATCTCTCTGCTATCGACCTAATAATATTTCGGGAGTAGTCTCTTTTCTCTCTTTTGTAACTCATACACTACATTACGTTAATTACCTACGTCACTAGTACTTCGTATGTTGTTTGTTTACAAACTTTCACATATAAATTATTACCTATAACGTTTTTTGCTTATTAAAATTCAAGTGTTTTGTTGTACACGTATTGTCCTTTCATCTATAACAACAATTACTTACATTAACAATGTATGATTTATGATGCTTTTGATTGGATTTAGGAGATTTAGACAATTGCCTATGATTTATGATGCTTTTATTTGGCTTTTGATTCATTTTGATTTTGTATGCTTGGTCCTGTTTGAATTGATATGGTCAGATAGATATCTATTTTATGTGTATTTTATTATTATAGAAGTCCAGTCTAATTTGTTTAAATAAGCCCTTATACAGTCTGACGTGATCTTAGTTTGAATTCAGTCTAATTAATGAATCTTTCTATGGTGCCTCCATTGTTTGGATATGTACCGTACCATTGCCTTAGTAACCCAATAAAAATGCCACACTTGTATATTAAACCTATACTACGTGGTAAAAATACAAGACGTAAAAGAAAATATGTGTTAATTTATTTTCCTTTGAGTCCTTCGTCAAAAGTCTATGTTTTTTGACGATGCACCAACTGTGTCTTCTACAAGAAGACAAGTCCTATGTACTTATATAGCACTAATACAAGAAAGTTGAAACGTGAAAACGACGAAAAAGGTACAGAGTTACGACAACACAACAAAAAGTATGATACATACACTTGATATATATTTTTAAATAGATAAAAGGGTCAAATACACCCTTCTACAATTGCAAAAAGATCACCTAAGCCCATGTACTTTAAAAAGTATCATATAAACCCACCTACTCCAAAAAATAAATCAATTAAGCCAAAATACAAAAAGTAACCTATAATAGGAGGTCATCCTCACATAGTTAACTTAGATAATACCGAGTAGCAGATTACACAACACGTATGCCAACCCCAAATTTGCACGACACGTATGCCAACCCCATATTTACCTGCTTACCCAATTTTAAAAAAAAAAACAAAACAAATTGCACCAGAGGGGATTTGAACTCATGACCAACGAGTGAGGCATCTTAGGGAGTGTTTGCAATTGCTTCAACTTTAAAGAAGTGATTTTTTAAAGTGATTTTGGAAAAAGTGATTAATAGTAAAAGTTGGTAGTGTTTGAAGAAAAAGTGATTCTGAAAAAGTAAAAGTTGGTAGTGTTTGGTAAAAGAAGTACTTTTTGTGTAATAGAAAAAGTGAAAAGCAGTTTAAATCACCCTTCCACCTGCTTCCAGCTTTTAGCTTTTAAGTGATTAATTTAAGCAGAAGCTGTCATTTGAAAACACTCTTTTTAACTTTTTTTAAGCCAAAAGTTGAAAAGCACTTTTTTTAATCAATTGCAAACACTCCCTTAGACATCAACCAACACCACTACTTGATTGCTGTTATAAATGACACCTCCACATATATTTATACTCTGTTACGTTTGTATTTTTAAATGAAAATAAATTTGCGATTATAATAATAAGTACGAGTATTTTTATTGATGTCATTGTAGGAGTATTATACTAATCAAATTACGGAGTATTTGTAAAAAATTCAAAACATCTATCAATATTATTTTTAATTTTATTTTATAAATATTATTTTCACATATTATCTATCCAATTCTAAACACATTTTCAATTTATTGAAAACTATATGTTTTGGGCTTTTGGCTCTTTTTTTCATATTCTTGCAATAATTATTAAATTTTGAGTTAGGGTAATTTTTTACCATATAAATTTAATGTAATATATAATTATTAGTTATATTTTATGTTTATTGTTCCACTAAATATTGACTGGTTTTGTACTAAATTTAATATCATTTTTATTACTTAGTGTACCTATGAATTCAATTTGTTTATCTGAAATGATTATTGTGTATATTTTAAACTGTTGAAGAATGTGGTGCATATGTTAAATTATTTTTTATTTCTATCATTAAATTAGTATATAAGACATGTATTATATGATGTGTTTTTAAATTGTGAAACGATTAAAACACGTTGTGTCTTTATTCATTCTATGAACGATGAAACGAATATTTAGCCATATTTGTATCGTATTATACACAAATGTACATATTATTGTACTATTCACAAACCGTATAATACTAACTAAACACATAGATCACAATAATGATGGCATTATTTGGTCATGGGTCAACCCAGTTAACGCCAAAAAACCGGCCAATATTTCGTGGAAAATAAACATAAAAATAGTTCATTATATATTAGATTAAAGAGAAAATAGCTTAAATGGGAGTAACTCAATCCCTAAATGTTTTGAATCTTTCACTAATACTCAGTAGTTTATCAATATAATACTCCTGTGATAACATCAAACCATATAAAATACACATATCAATATGACCAAACTTCTATAATATAAGATACACATAAAATAGACATCTATCAGACCATATCAATTTGAAACAGGACAGCATACAAAATCAAAATCAAAATCAAAAGACAAATAAAAGCATCATAAATCATAGGCAAACTAATTGTCTAAATCCGCTAAATCCAACTAAAAGCATCATAAATCATACATGTTTAATGTAAGCAATTGTGTTATTATAGATGAAAGGGCAATACGCATACACCAAAACAAAGGAATTTTAATAAGAAAACAACTTTATAAGCCATAATCCATACAAGAAATTTTGTAAACAAACAACAAACGAAGTATTAGTGACGTATCTGTCAAAAAAAGTAATAGTGACGTAGGTAATTAACGTAATGTAGTGTATGAGTTACAAAAGAGAGAAAAGAGACTACTCCCGAAATATTATTAGGTCGATAGCAGATAGATGATATATTAATCACCATGTATTGATCATAGGCGCCACAACTACCGGACTCCTCACACTATGCTTACCGTTGTCGCCAACGAAAGTGAATGAACCGAAATCAACTTCTCCGGTCGAACTACCCTTATATATAGGTGAGAGTAAATGTATAGTTTTCCTTGTCATACTTCTTGAAGGAAAGTTTAACAGGGTTGAAAGTAGTATGGAAACTCTGAGGTAATTGGTTGGCATCAAGGTGTAGGTTTCTGGGCCATCCCCAACATATGTGACAATCCTGTGAAAGGTTCGAGTGACATTTTGGGTACAAGAGAATAAAGGATGGGTAGTTGAGATCAGAAGAGCGAGTTGAGCAGTTGTATTTGGATGATGTGGTGATGGTTTGAATTTGGGTAGAATTGAAGTGCATAGAGAACAAAAGATCGACAGTCATGTGGGGTGGCATCATAAACCAGGCCCAGGTCAAGTGCGCGATTTGGATCAACTTGGCCCGCTCCCATTGACAGAGGGGGATCACTACTGCTAGAGTCGGTAGAGTCCTTTATAGGGGCACCGGTGTTGTCATTAGGGTTGGCGGTGGTGATCATGGCTGATCAAATGGCGGTCGGGCTCCACTCTGGGTGTGTGCCTATAAGAAGTGCTGCAACTCCAGAAGAGTGAGGGCATGACATGGACGTACCAGATATCATGTTGAAGTTGGGCTTGTCCTGCTGTAAGGGTACAGTGACATTGTTGGGGTGTACTATGTAAGATGTAGGAATAAATGGAGGCCAGGCTGCTAAGACTAAGGTCCCAGGAGCCATCAAGTCGGGCTTCAAGACCCATGGACAGCTAGGGAAGGACCTCTGGAGGAGTAGCTCGCTGCAATAGGATTTCTCTTGGTGCCTAGTAACGTTTCTTCTAACTGAATGTTGGCATAAGGCCCTGCTCGCACACCATTACTATTTCTAGTGTAATTGATAACTCCAGCTGATTGTTTACGACTAATAACAACGCCGGGATATGGGAAGTCCGCAAACTCATGTAAATCCGGGTTATCAAAAATGAAGATGGCCGTGCTGACAAAATTGGAATATGAAAGAAATATGCTTTGCTTGAAGAGTGAATTAAAATTGCCAGACTCACAAACAACTATAGATGAGGGATTCAGATCGGAGAAGAGATGGATTGAGTTGCAACGGGACATTGTTTCGTTGTAAACGAGAGGCAACAGGCCGCTAGCGGGTTTCACCAAGGTGTATGTCGTCCAACTAGTTATCTTCTCCCCACTCGCCAAAGTCACTGTCCCGGCAAACCAACGGTCGATGGAGCCAGCCGATTTCGAAATGCAAGACAAGCCATGAAGGAGAATTTGGGGAGGATATATGACTTCCAAATGAAAGACAACCAAACCTTTTAATCCCCCTTAATTCTAAGTAAGTCATAGACCTTAGTAGAAGATCTCTTCCACTTTTCTTCAAAGTGAGATAGGTCGATCGTGTATAGCATTTAAAACCGTGTTAAATTTTGACACAATATATTATCTCGTATGAGAGCTCGCAATTCTTTTCAAGAGTTGAGAGTCCCTATGGTGTGGGGAAAAGTCCCACACATATGCCAGACTGTATTACGGGAAGACTACTCAATGAACCGAATTTCAAATCACATACTATATTTACGATATGAAAACACTAAATCAAATAGTTCAGACTTAGTATTTGTGAGTTGTGACACCCATATCATGTTGTATGTTCTTTCGTTTCAAGCGTATTATATCTCGTTGGAAAGATCATTTAGAGTTGTAAAGCTATTATTCCGACTCGATTAAGTATGCATTAAGTATACAGTATAGATTAACTTGAAATTCACAAACATTTTCGATTTCACTCCGAACACGTGTAGAAATTGATCTGATCATATCTTGTTGTATTTAATTCCATTTAAAGTGTTCTCTGTCTCGTTGGAAAGATCTCATCGAATTTTAACAATCGTCTTTGGGCATCGTTTTCAAAATATTACGGGAAGACTACCTAATGAACATAATTTCAAATCGCAGACTGTATTTACACTAAAAAACTTTATTTACGCCGAAAACGCTAAATCATATAGTTTAGGCTTAGTATTTGCGACACTCATATCTTGTTGTATGCTCTTCCGTTTCAAGCAAATTATATCTCGTTGGAAAGATCATTTTGAGTTTTAAAACTATTGTTCCGACTCAATTTACAATGCATTAAGTATAAGGTGCAAATTAACCTGAAATTCACAAACATTTCCGATTTCACTCTGAACACGTGTAGAAATTGATCTGATCATATCATGATGTATTTAGTTTCGTTTAGAGCGTTTTCTATCTCTTTGGAAAGATTTTATCTAGTAAAAAACCGTCTTCAGGCATCGGTTTCAAACTATTGCAGGAAGACTGCCTAATTAACCGAATTACAAACCTCAGACTGTATTTAAGCTAAAAAGCTCTATTTACGTTGAAAACGCTAAATCACAGAGTTCAGGCTTTGTATTTTTGGCACTCATATCTTGATGTATGTTCTTCCATTCAAGCTTATTATATCTTGGTGGAAAGATCATTTTGAGTTCTAAAGGTATTGCTCCGACTCAACTTATAATGCATTAACTATAAGGTACATATGAATCTGAATTTCACAAACATTTTCGTTTGAACTCCGAACATGTGTTGCAATTGATCTGATCATATCATGCGTTTTCTATCTCGTTGGAAAGATATTATCAGGTTCTAAGAATCGTCTTCAGGCGTCCGCTTAAGAATATTACGGAAACACTACCTAATGAACCAAATTTCAAATCGCAGACTGTATTTACGCTAAAAAATGCTCTATTCACACTGAAAATGCTAAATCACATAGTTTAGGCTTAGTATTAGTGACACTCATATCTTGTTGTATGTTCTTCCATTTGAAGCGTATTATATCTCGTTGGAAAGAACATTTTGGGTTATAAAGCTATTGTTCCGACTCAATTTACAATGCATTAAGTATAAGCTACATATTAACCTGAAATTCAAACACATTTCCGATTTCACTCTGAACACGTGTAGAAATTGATCGATCATATCATGCATTTTATATCTCGTTGGAAAGATCTTATCGAGTTTTAAAACACAGCTTCAGGCATCGGTTTCAAAATATTACGGGAAGACTGCATAATGACCCGAATTTGAAATCTCGGAGTGTATTTACGCTAAAAATGCTCTATTTACGCTGAAAACACTAGTTCACGGAGTTTAGACTTAAAATTTGTGACACTTAAAACTTATTGTATGTTTCCTCCATTTCAAGCGTATTATATTTTGTTGAAAAGATCATTTTGAGCTCTAAAGTTATTGTTCCAACTTAATTTACTATGTATTAAGTAGAAGGTATAGATTAACCTGAAATTCACAAACATTTATGATTTCACTCCGAACATGTGTAGAAATCGATCTGATCATATCTTACTGTACTTAGTTCTATTTAAAATGTTTTTTATCTCGTTAGAAAGATCTTATCGGGTTCTAAAACTCGTATTCAGGCGCCGATTTCAAAATATTACAGGAAGACTACCTAATAAACCAAATTTCATATCCCATATTGTATTTAATGCTAAAAATGCTTTATTTATGTTGAAAACGCTAAATGATTGAGTTCATGCTTAGAATTGTTGACACTCATATCTTGATGTATGTACTTCTGTTTCAAGCATATTATATCTCGTTGGAAAGATCATTTTGGGTTCTACAGTTGTTGTTCCGACACAAATTACAATGCATTGAGTATAAGCTACATATTAACCTGAAATTCAAAAACATTTCCGATTTCACTCTGAACACGGGTAGAAATTGATCGATCATATCATGCATTTTATATCTCGTTGGAAAGATCTTATCGAGTTTTAAAACACAGCTTCAGGCATCGGTTTCAAAATATTACGGGAAGACTGCATAATGACCCGAATTTGAAATCTCGGAGTGTATTTACGCTAAAAATGCTCTATTTACGCTGAAAACACTAGTTCACGGAGTTTAGACTTAAAATTTGTGACACTTAAAACTTATTGTATGTTTCCTCCATTTCAAGCGTATTATATTTTGTTGAAAAGATCATTTTGAGCTCTAAAGTTATTGTTCCAACTTAATTTACTATGTATTAAGTAGAAGGTATAGATTAACCTGAAATTCACAAACATTTATGATTTCACTCCGAACATGTGTAGAAATCGATCTGATCATATCTTACTGTACTTAGTTCTATTTAAAATGTTTTTTTATCTCGTTAGAAAGATCTTATCGGGTTCTAAAACTCGTATTCAGGCGCCGATTTCAAAATATTACAGAAAGACTACCTAATAAACCAAATTTCATATCCCATATTGTATTTAATGCTAAAAATGCTTTATTTATGTTGAAAACGCTAAATGATTGAGTTCATGCTTAGAATTGTTGACACTCATATCTTGATGTATGTACTTCTGTTTCAAGCATATTATATCTCGTTGGAAAGATCATTTTGGGTTCTACAGTTGTTGTTCCAACACAAATTACAATGCATTGAGTATAAGGTACAGATTAACCTTAAATTCACAAACATTTCCGATTTCACTCCAAACATGTGTAGAAATTGATCTGATTTTAACTCGCTATATTGTGTTCCATTTAAAGCGTTTTCTATCTCGTTGGAAAGATCTTATCGAGTTTTAAAACTCAAGATCTTATCGAGTTCGAAAACTCGTCTTTAGGCGTCTGTTTTAAAATATTACAAGAAGACCACCTAATGAAGCGAATTTCAAATCCCGGGCTCTATTTACGCAAAAAATGCTCTATTTACGCTAAATACGCTAAATCACAGAGTTCGGGCTTAGTATTTGTGACACTCATATCTTGATGTATCTTCTTCTGTTTCAAGCGTATTATATCTCGTTTGAAAGATTACTCTTAGTTCTAAAGCTATTGTACCGACTCAATTTACAGTCCATTAAGTATAAGGTACAGATTAACCTAAAATTCAGAAATATTTTCGATTTCACGCCGAACACGTGTATAAATTTATCTGATCATATCTTGTTATATTTAGTTTCGTTTAAAGTTTTTCTACCTCGTTAGAAAAGGATCAATTGAGTACACCAATTTGTACGAGATAGAGTAAAAAGTACATCATATTGCATCTCACAATCTTAAGTACATAACTTAGTTTTTTTACTAGAATTATTTGAGTACACACATTATTTTAACATGTTACTATGACTGAGTTGGCTAACAGAATATTGAGTAAGAAGGGGAAATTGACCAAGGTTCTGGATTCGACCTTTAGGAAGTCGACCTAAAAAGAGAAGTCGGCCAAGGTCCTGACGTCAACTTTAAAAGGTCGACCTGCTGGGCATCGATTAGTGGGGGTGCATTGACCAAGGGACTGGGGGCTAGCGTCGACCTTCAGAAAGCCGGCCTATTGGCATTATGTTAGCCCTAACCGCATTAAGGTGTTAATCTATCGAGTGTACATATTAACACTAAAAAATGAGTTTGAGTACTTAAAAATATCAAATTTAATATATGGTACTCTTTACTACACCTCATACAACTTGATGTACTTAATTGACCCTTATTTCTGCTAATTTTTAACTTGATGGATGCCTCAAAGTTCATTATTTTGAAATTTTATAAACTAATACTCCTATTTTTACATGAGTTTTTTCATATATATTACCAAAATAAATATTATTTACACAAATATGGCTAATATTCATGAAATTATAGTATCATAGTCACTTAAATTTTAAACTGAAGATAATTATTATAATTTAGTTACTACTATAGTCACTAGTCAAATTCTAAGTGTAATTCAGCGCCTAAAATTCCTTTGGTAAATATGACATTGAAAAATCTTATCAATGCATCATTGTGGCATTATATTATATACTCCATCCGTCCCATTTTACATGTCTACTTTTCTTTTTGAGTTGTCCCAAAATAAGTGTCTTCTTTCTTTTTTGGAAAGAAATATGTGGTCTACACTATTTCACTTTATTAGACTTAAACGTGAACCACAACGTTTACTTTTCCAACCACTTCATTAATAATCATGTCAAGTCAAACTAAAACACATAAAATGGGACCAGGGCCGGCCCTGGGCATGTCTGCCAAGTGCGACCGCACAGGGCCCGGATTTTTGAAGGGCCCAAAAAAAAAATTTAATATTATACCCCAGCCCAAAATCCCCTGTGTAAATCTAAATATGCTTGAAGAATATCTCTTTTTAAATAAATTGTAAGTTATTAATGACTATTTTTATTATTATGTTTATTCGTAAGTTGTATTTTAAGACAATTTGCTTGCATTGCAACTTGAAAAAAGGCCCAAATTTTATTCCCGCACAGGGTCTACATTTCTTTGGGACCGGCCCTGAATGGGACGGAGATAGTATTTTGCATTCGTCGGTTTTCCTATATTTATTTATGTCTAGGCTCCATCTATTACCAAATTGTCAAAAGTCTGAAGTGTGAACAAATGAAGAAGCACAAGTATCTCACGGGGATTGAATTGGCTCTTCCAACGAGGTCAATTAATACCCTCATATACCTCCTCCGTCCCGAATAACTTTGACAAGTTTAACCGACACGTGGATTAATAAAGTAAAAATTGTGTGATTGAGATTTGTACAAAAGAGAGAGTATTAATCAGAATCATAAATTCTTTACTTAAATGAGAAAGTGGCAAAGTTAATG